ACACAGGTTGTGTGGCTTTAAAACCTTTTAGATAGAGATTCATTTTACATGTTTGTTGCAATACAAACCTTGATAAATTGTACGATGCCATCAGGGACCCCGGTCTTGCTCAGTTTCTGCAAGTATTCAATAATATCACTGGTCTGCAGTCCCACGCTGACCGCTGCATATAACGAGTAAGCGGTCAGTTTGTATTCATGAACATGGACCGGTCGGCACACTGGCTCAGAGATGGCTACCAAGAAGTCCTGTGCATATTTGTATACTGGAGAGAAGGCTTCCAGGAAGATGTGACCATCTGGGGCCTGATAAGAAAAGATCACTCAATGCCAATAGCAGGATTTATATTGCTCAGTTATTTACTAAACTGAGAATTGTCAGGAATTAAAGCAAATGTAAATGTTAAAGCCAAAATAGCTAAACTGAGAATAAAATCTCTAAGTCAGCTTTGCTTTAAGTTCAGCTACTTCAGCCTAATATTTGGAATTTTCTTTGAATTAGTGACAATTTCCACCTTCGTAAATAACTCTGAAATGTGAACACTGGCACATTATATCACAGAATGTTTAATACATACCACCCATAGTGGACGTGACAAATGGTCTCCTTTTAAAGGCATCTGCAGTCTATAATCCTTGGCTCCATATTCATCCTGTTTGGTACCCGCCTCATCTACCTGTTTTCCTGCTGCTGAAGGTACCGCTTGCTGGAATTCTCCACCAGGCCCTTCATCTTCATCATCATCCTCCTCATCATAATGGCGCTTCTTAGATTTCTTCTTGTCTAAAAGAAGAACAGAACAATTAGTGATGTACAGCTAGATGTACTAGCAACACGTCCTAACTTATGATGGTACTTAAAAATCTGACGCATTTTCTTCACATACAGTCCTTATTTCATTACTGTATTAAATCAATACCTTCACTTATTACTGTTACACTCAGGGCTGACTTTCTGGTCGGCCTGTGAGTATTTCTCTCTGTCTCTGTGGTTAGGGACCTTTTCACTGCTTCCCCTAACTGTCCGGTTCTCTCCCCGACGTTTAGGTGCCTTTTCCCTGCAGCTCAGACTTCCCGGCATGTCGCGTCTTAGTTCCCCGACCTGCCTGCTCATTCTGTTAATTCCCATGTCTCCCTTAGGCTTAGCCGGCAACTTTCCCGTCGTTTTTCTGCGATCTCCAACCCTGTCAGAAGCGTACGGTTCAACTGTCCTAGTGCTACAGTGTGCTGTTCTCATCTACTAGGAGTGGTGTTTCACGAAGCCGATGAAACCGGTGATGGCTCTCCTCCGCTCTCAGCGCATCAGATCCATAGTGTATCTTGATGATATTCTAATTATGGCTCAAGACCCTCTTACAACACACAGAAATGATAACCTCACTCCTTTAGAACCTCGGTTTTGTGATGAACTTGGAAAAATCTTCCCTACTACCCTCATATCTTCTCTACTTCCCTTCTAATTTTTAGGGTTTCAAATAGACTCCGAACAAGCCATTCTCCAAAATAAAGTCGTTCAATAAGGACATTTGGAAATTGATGGGTTCTCCTCAAATCCATCTCTGCAATCTGGCAAGGGTCATCAGTTTACTGTCGGCCTACATTCAAGCCATCTTCCCCGGTCCGTTGCATTACAGAGCAATGCAACGCCTCAACACCTTTTCTACAAACAACTAATATCACTGACGGTAGAAGTCCACTTGGAACTGGATTGGTGGCTCCTCAACATGGAGGCATAGAACGGGAAGGCAATGTTCGGCTCCCTACCAGACTACTGGAATCAAAGAGCCAGTCTCTCTGGTTGGGGTGAGACTTGCTTGGATCTCTCTACCGGAGGGCTTTGGACACCCTCAAAACAGGCCTTGCACATAAACTGCCTCAAACTAATTGGCGGCTCCACTGCAGTTTGCAGCTTTGCAAAGGATGCATACATTGCTCTCTGGCTCTCAGGATGGACAATAACTCCGCAGTCTGTTACGTCACCGATTGGGAGGTTCCCATTCCAAACTCCTTTTGGATCTGACTGGCTGGCCAGGAAAATCTCCCTGCTAGCAGAATACCTCGCGGGTCCGGACAACCTGGTGGCAGACTGGTTCCCTCACCACTGGTATTTCCCCCTTCTTTAACAAGCTCATGGCCCCCTCTATCTGGACCTCTTCGCGTTCCACTTGAATCGGCAGACCGAGGCTTTCTTCAGTTGGCTTCCAGACCCCTCCTGTCAAGCAGTCAATGCCTTCCTACAACCCTTTTCCATGATTCCTCGAACTCTGCAAAAACTCAGAGTCCTCAGGGTCAGAATCCTGGTAATTACCCCTCTATGGAGGACACAGTCCTGGTATCCCAATCTGCTAGAACGGTCAGTGGACTCAAGGTATTTGTCCCTTACTGCTATTGTGCGCTAAAATCTACAATTTTCTTTTTTCTATTGTGCCTCTACTTCCTCTGAATTGTGACCTCCTCCGAGGTCCCTCAGAAGAGTTCCACCCTGTCATTCTTCAGGGTCACCTTAAACTCGTAGCCTGGACCATTTCAGGGAATCCTGGGATGTCTCAGGACTTACGAACACTGCTAGAGGATTTCTATGGGACTCCTGGGCACAGGGAACGCGATGTTCCTACCTCTCCACTTGACAAATCTGGACTAGCTGGTGTGTGGAAAGGGATATTGATCCCTTTTCATCCTCTGTAGTTTATGTCATGAATTTCTTATCCTCACTCTTTGACCAAGGTAAGTCCTATCGAACTATCAATCTTTTTTGCTCCACTATTTCCACAGCTCACATTCCTGTTGAAAATTCCTCCGTGGGCAAACACCCCTCAGTCTGAATACTTTTGTGTTGTATTCGACTTGCCAGACCGCCTGCCCCTAGATATTTCCAATTTTGGGATGTGTCATTGGTTTTTTAATTTTTGGAAACGTGGCCATCCAACTCAGAGCTCACACTAAGGCAACTTTATGCTAAACTTGTCCTACTCCTCTGCTTGGTTTCCTTCCGGAGAGTGTCTGATCTCATTTACAAACCCGAGTGTGTTCATTTTACCATCTCCCGTAGGAGCAAGACCCAGTTATCCTCCGTGTTCTATCCATTTTTCCCTGACAGACCCTCTCTATGTGTGGCACGTTGTTTACACCACTATGTAACTCTTAACACCTATTTTCGTCCTGGTTCTCATGCCCTTTTTCCTTTGCTTTCTGGGTGTGTAAAAAGCAAATATGAAGCCTCCCGTCTTGCCATAAAATTAGGGATTATTCTAGTGGTTAATGACTGAATAACCTAAAGTTTATTAAAGACACGAGGCGAATATTTTCCCAGCCTTCTTGTCCCACCCTACTATCTGGGGTTGACAACTTCGCTTTATTGTTTGTTGGACTTTTATTTATTTTCCCACATATTTTGTTCTGATGATGTGTTATCTCCTGTGGTTCTGATCTACCCCTGCGGATTGTGACTGACATTTATAGTGCTTATTTTTGCTTACAATTTGCTTGTCTAATGTGATTGCCATGATTATTAGACACTTCTTTCACGATATTTCTTCTTACTAGTGTGAAGATTCTACATTGTCCCTCTGGGGGTCTTTCAGCTCCAGCTGAGCTATTATTTCCGAGTTTACATGGTTGAGGACATTGTTCACGTTTACAAGGTTGACTTAATTTGTGCGGCTGCATCATCAAAAGAGGAAGTGGGAGGAGCTTCACCATCAGTAGTTATATGATATCTGTACTGTGATTGGTTGATTTTACTTTACATTGATAACCATTTCTTTGCTGCTGGGATTTTTCAGTAAAGAAAACAAATATTCGCCTCCCGTCTTTAATAAAATTTTGATTATTTGGTCATTAAACATTAGAATAATCCCTAATTATATGCAATAAAAAATACACAACTCATTTTCTCTTAAATCAACCTAGTCTTCGACAACACTGGATCATCATTTGGGATTTCAGTTCAACATTTTAGCATTCCAAAGTATTTTCTCATGCATACATCACTATTTTTAAGTCAAAAATGTCCATTTGGGTTCCATGTACTAAAAAAGAAGGTTGTGGTTGTGGTGGTGGTGGTGGGTTCCGAAAGTCCCATCTGTCCCATAGGTTTTTCCCAGACGGGCTTTTGCTCTGTTCATAAACATTCGTACAATGTCTGCATGTATCCTTCAGTGATAGATTTTGTGCAAATAAATTGTGCTTTACTGTCTTCGTTTAAAGCTACAAAGTATAATAACAAATAAGGTGAGGGTTTGAAACGTTGTAGGATTGTTTATAAACAGGGCAGGAGCCTGTCTGCTGCCTGGAGAAAGGCAATAAGGAAGATATTATTATTGTACATGGATACAGGGACAGTGCAGCACCCCTCCCTGTGAACCCCAAATATAAATGTGTGTCTTAAAATAATCTAGTATGGCTAGATGCTGAGAAAATCATTTAGAGCTGACCCCCAGACCGATCCTGCCCTCCCCCTCCCCTCATGACACCCCCAGACCGAGCCTGCCCTTCCCCTCCCCTCATGACACCCCCAGACCGAGCCTGCCCTCC